CCTGTCAGAATGGCCAACATCAACAAATCAACAAACGACAAGTGTTGGCGAGGTTGCGGAGAAAAAGGAACCCTCGTGCACTGCTGGTGGGAATGCAGACTGGTGCAACCACTGTGGAGAACAGTGTGGAGTTTCCTCAAAAAACTGAGAATGGAACTCCCATTTGACCCAGTAATCCCACTTCTAGGAATATACCCCAAGAAACTAGAAACACCAATCAGAAAGGATATATGCACCCCTATGTTCATAGCAGCACAATCTACAATAGCCAGAATCTGGAAACAGCCTAGGTGCCCGTCAGCTGATGATTGGATCCAAAAACTTTGGTACATCTACACAATGGAATACTATGCTGCCATAAAAAAGAAGGAATTCTCACCATTTGCAGCAACCTGGATGGAATTGGAGAACATCATGCTGAGTGAAATAAGCCAATCAATGAAAGAGAAACACCACATGACCCCACTCATTTGTGGATAATAAAGATCATTATAAACTGATGAACCAAAAGATAGATATAGAGACAGTAAAGCAACAAGCAGACTGTCAAATTACAACGGGGAGGGGAGGAGGGTCTGGGGGAGATAATAAATCAACCCAAGGACTTGTATACATGCATATAAGTACAACCAATGGACATAAAACTCTGGGGAGGGAGGGGATATGTGGGAGGGAAGGAGGGGGGCAAAAAAAATATCAATAAAATATGTAAAATAAAAATAAAAATACAAGGAAAAATACAAGGAAAAAAAAAACTTCTGTCATGGATTAGGCTCAATCAATATTTGTCAACTTAATGTGTGAGATTTGGGACAACAAAGAAGACTTCAAGTTTCTCTGTATGAAGGAAGCTGGTAGTGCCAATAGTTAAAATATGACACACATGTCTAAAATTAAAGGTAAAGTCTTAATTTGGACATACTGACTGTACAGTTCAAATTTGGAGGGATAGGATGGGTAAGAGGAAGATCAGGAAGCAAAGGATTATAAATGTTATGAGTGAACCCAGTCACTGGATAGGCCTGCCAGAACAGTAGAGGCAGAAGATACGCCAGTGAAAAGGGTCAGAGAAAGAGAACTGGAGAAGGTCCCGAGAAAGAAATGGTCAGCCTTTAAATTCTGGAGATGGAAGGAGAATGGGTGTCATGAGGGGAGTGGCCCCTAAGTTCGGTAGGTGCTGGGAGCAAAGGCAAGGACTGCAGGCCTCTAACTTAAGAAATTAAGGGCCTTTAGCTGAGGCAGGGAGAAGCCAGGCTCTGCCAGAAACTGGGAAATTGGGCAGATTCCTTGGCCTCCATGAGTCCCACTTCCTTCAACTGTCTTACTCCAAAATACTTCATTGCCCTCCAAATAAAACACACTTCAAACCCATCTGTACCCTGGCCTACAAATGATCCCACCAAGCCTGGTTCTCAGGGATTCTCTTGTAGAGTCTCCCCAATAATACCGGCCTACCTCCCCCGCCCCACACCCCCAGCTCTTCAGGCTCCCCTGGCAGTTTTCTTGGCCCAGACTGTTTCCCCTTAAACGGCTGCATGGCTGGATCCTTTCCTTCTCAGTCAGAACAAGAGGCCTTTCCTAAGCACCTTCCAGCAGATCTCGCTTTACTGCGTCTCACTCCTATCTATTCCTTTATCTGTCTGTCCTGCTTAAAGCAATAGGCCCGTGACCACGGAAGCCTTGCCTGTTTTGTTCACTGCTCTCTCTCTCTCCAAGGCTGGGATGGTACTGTGTTTTGAAAGAATGACTGCATGCTGCTTGCCACACCTCCAGGGAATAGCCTCCACCCAAGTTCTGGGAGAGAGGTGCTTAAGGCAGGTGTCTATAGAAGGATAAGTCGTGCAGTGTTTACAGATTACCGGGAGGTAATGATGGGCCAAGACTCATGAAAGAAGGGGGAAAGTTTGCTCTGTAAACCCCGGAGCCCACGGCAAGGATACCTCGGTGCTAGGACTTCTTGTCTACCTCCTCAGCTGCTTCCCTAACGCGCAAGGCAAGGTTGGTTCGCTTCTGTGGTCCGTGTGCCAAAGCTCAACACTTCCTGCAAAGCCAGGCCAGCGACCCACGCGCGCGCATCCCACCTGGCGGGCCATGTCACTAGTCCCTGCGCCTGGACGCCCGGCCCCTCGGTCCCCGCTTCGGACCCTTTACCTCCCCCGTGTGCTTGCACAGGTGCGCGTCTAACTTCCAGGCCTTGTTGTAACTGGCGCAGCAGTTCGGGAAGGAGCAGATGAACCTCCCCGGGAGCGCGGGGAGCGGCGGCGCGGGGCTCTCGCCGGCCCGGACGAACGCGTCGGCGATGGTCAGGGAGGAGACCGCCGCAGCGACTGACGCCGGCGGCTCCAGGGCGCCCGGGGCCTGGCGCTCAGCCACGTGGCGAGCGGCGACCCGGACCGGAGGGCGCGGCCCACGCCCAGCCCAGCGCCCGGGGCTCCGTCAAACTCCGCGGGACTCGGCGCACTTCCGGGTCTGCGGCACATTCCCCGCCCCGGGGGCGGGTCTGCGGCGCAGGCGCGTAGGCAGCAGGCTCCGCCCCCGCGGGCGCCGGGTTCGCGCTTGCGCAGGAAAGCCCTCGTGGGCAGCGCGCGCAGGAAAGCCCTCGTGGGCAGCGCCCCTCCGGCTCCACAGCAGAAAGGCATTTGGGCATCAACAGATTGGGAGGCACGGATTAAATGTGACAAGTTTCCCACCCGCCACCACCCTATTCAAAGTACTAACCTTGCAAAATGTATCCTGTCCTCGCCACGTTATCAGTTTGTCTTCTTTATGGGTTCATTTCCTTGCCTGCAATCTACTTGCTTCCTCTTTAAGCCCCAGAACAGTGCTTCCTAATCTTGGCTGCAGGTTAGAATCACATGGAGATCTTTTAAAACTCCTAACCCCGGGCCGATGAAATTACAATTTCTGGTAGTGGGAAACCAGAACCAGCACTTCAGAAATTCCCTGGGTGACTCCACTGCAGAAAGGTTTGGGAACCGCTTCCAAAGGCCTTGCTGCTCAAAGTGGGATCTGTGGACCCTCAGCATCATTAGAAATCACCTCAGATCTATTTGAATCAGAGAGATCTCCGGGTGATTTGACGACATTAAAATTTGAAAAGCACTAGCGGCTTGAATGATCTGTGTCTTGATTTATGAAGACCGCGTGATTAAAGGCTGTCCTTGGGTGAGAATAACGGTGATGGATGGCCTGATGTTCCTCCAGGTCTGTATTTTTCACAGCCTGCATCATTCCAAATCATTACACAAGCCCTTGTTGGAATCTGATGAGCAGGTTCCAACAGAGACCAAGTCAGTGTCCAGCAGTCAGCCCTGACCTGGACTCTTACATCAGACTCACTCCTGAGTCTTCACATCTTTAAAGTGGAGATCCTTTTTCCATGCTCATGGACCTCTGCACCTCTACAGCTCCTGAGGCTCAGCGTCCTTTTCTCTTTTTTTCTAGTTGGTAGAGCTTCCACTCAGCCAGCTTTCTGTAGGTTCTGGACGATGTCCTCTCTGTTTTCCAGTTGTAATTTTAAAATTGTTGTGGTAGGCTACATTTAGGTGTTTACCTTATGCAACCATCTTGGTTTCTATCCACTTATTATATTTTAATTGTTTCGTGATATAATATGAGACTACTACTGGTATGTAGTGTGTTCTACAATTTCCTCTTTAAAAAGTAATTTGAAGAGCTCTAGCCAGTTTGGCTCAGTGGATAGCCTGTCGATCTATGGACCAAAGGGTTCAACTCCCATCAAGGCCACATACTTTCATTGCAGCCTCTTCCCTGACATGGGCCATTGTCTGGGCTCATGAAGGAGGAACCAATTGTTGTTTTTCTCGCATCAATGTTTATCTCTGTCTTTCCATCTCTCTTACACTTTCCCTAAAAACATTCTTGAGTGAGGATTAACAAAAAATGGATAAATAATTTATAAACATTTGATCCCAAAATTATGACCATTGCTGTGAAGCAAGATATCAAATGCTCCCTACAGTTTGCTTTTTACAAGAAGTATATCTACAGCTTTTGGTTTTATTTTTCACAGCCACATGCAGACATATTTCATGTATTGCTTGAAACCCACTCCAGAGAGGCACTTGTGATGTTGATGGTGTGTTCTCTGGTCACTACCTCCTTGATGGCAGAAAGGTCCTTCTTCTCTCCCTCTTTCTTTGTGGGAGCCCACATTGGAAAGAAAGCAGAGATTTTATGTTTATTATTATTTAAATATATTTTTATTGATTTCAGAGAGGGAGACAGAGGGAGATAGAAACATTAATGATGAGAGAGAATCATTGATCAGCTGCCTCCTACATGCCTCCCACTGGTGATTCAACCTGAAACCTGGGTATGTAACCTTTGACCTGAATCAGACCTGGAACCCTTCAGTTCATAAGCTGATGCTCAATCCACTAAGCCAAAACAGCTACAGCAAGATTTTACTTTTCATTTAATCTTCCTCAGCCAAATAGGATTGAAGCGAGTTGAGAAGTTCAAGGGAGGATTACAAAGGTGTAAATCAGATTATGCATTAACAAAATTAGTCTGCCCTAATCTGCAGGAATAAGAGGAGATCCCATCAGCCAGACTTCTGAACATCCTCCTATCCCCACCCTCGCCCAGGGAGGAGCCTTACTGGATGAGGTCTTAAAGAGATTACCCTCCTAGTATATATAGAGGCCAGAGTCACATTACTAAACATTTAACTGGAAGGAGACTGGCTTCAGAGACTCTTCTTGGAGACACACTTCAAAGGAGCAGGCTAAGAAACCACTTATGACTTGGATTGAGCTTGGCTTTTGACCTAGAGCACTCTACATCCCTTGTGCGATGTGTTGTTAAATACAGGAGAGGGCAGCAAGAAGACGACATCAGCTGGTGGCTGGAACTCTTAGAAACTCCTAGCGCCTTCCACAGAGAGGGAGGTCTGAGCAGACCTCAGCTTCTCACTTTTCGTCACTTCTGGAGGATTACACCTTGGGACACCTTGGGACAGACACCTTCACTGCGCCATGGCCTTTGCAACTGGCCTGGTGGCTGAGTTCCAGGAAGAGGCCATCTGCCCCATCTGCCTGGATCACATGACAGACCCAGTGACAATTGCCTGTGAGCACAACTTTTGTCCCTCTTGCATCCTCCAGCGCTGGGAAGGCCTACAGGGCACTTTTCCCTGTCCTGTCTGCCTTCACCACTGCCCTGACAGGAGCTTGAAGAGGAACCCCCAATTATGTCACGTGATGGAGACTGTTCAGCAGTTTCCCACCATGAAGGTAAAGAGAAAAAGGCAAGAGGAACCCCTGTGTAAGAAGCACCATGAGGTTCTGACTCTGTTCTGTGAGAAGGACCTGGAGCTGCTGTGTGCCCAATGCAGGGTCTCCCCTGATCATGGGGATCACCCCCTGATGCCCACTGAAGAAGCTGCAGCTACTCACAGGAGGAAGCTCAAGAGCTGTATTGTGTCCTTTAGCAAGCAGATTAAAGATACTGAAAATCGGTCAGAAATGCAAGTTCTGAAATGTTTTGAATTAAGACAGAAGATAGAAAATCAAAAGGATGAATTGCAAACTGAATTTAAACAACTTAAACATTTCTTGGAAAAGAAACAGATGGAAACTCTTACTAGTTTCCTAATTGAAGAAACAAAAATTCAAGAAAAATTAATTGAGGAGAAAAACCAAATATCAAACCACAGTTCCATATTAAATAGTCTGCTTAGTGATATTATCAGTAAGTGTTTGCAGACAGACGTGGATTTACTCGCTGGTATTAAAAGTATCTACAACAGTTATGAAAACCTAGAGACCCCATCCATCTTTTTATATGAGTTAAAGGAGGAGAGTTTTGAACTCCCCCCATATTTGGGCCTGCATAAAATAATCTGCACGTTTCATGTAGATTTGACATTGGATCCTGAAACTGCCCATCCAAGTCTCTATATCTTAAGAGATAGAAAAAGTGTGGCCTATAGAACATCATTTGGTCGTCATAACCTTCAGGCACCCACTTCTTGCGCAGCTGTCCTGTGTTCTGAGGGATTTGATTCTGGCAGGCATTTTTGGCAGGTAGAAGTAGGAGGCACAGGGATGTGGTCCTTGGGCGTGTGTAAGGAATCTTTGCCCAGGCATGCTCTTATGTCACCATTCCCAGTAAATGGCTGCTGGAAACTTCAGCTCTGGGCTAATACATCTGTCACATGCCGTTCAGTCAACTGGGAACGGATAGGCATTTTTCTGGACTATGAGCTGGGAGAAGTTTCATTTTATAACTTAAGAAAGAGATCACATTTGTATACTTTCAGCGAAAGTTTTACAGAAAAACTTATGCCCTATTTCTGCCTTGGACCTTCTTCAAAATCACTTGTAATGCGTATAGCCAAAGATGAATGATGAACTGCCTTATAATCTGTTCCATGCATTCTACTTTATTCCTGTGTTAATAGAGAGTGCTTGTAATAAAAGCACATTTCTGGTAAAAATAAAAAATTAAAAAACAAAGTGGAGTTGATGTTAATAACACCTGTCACACGAGGACTGAGAGGGTGTCTGGGACACGTGCCCACTTGTTGCTCTCCTCATCGGCCACTCCAGCGCCTCTCCAGGATACAAGCCCACACACATTCCTCCTACAGCTCTGGAAGTCTTAAATAGTTTCCCTTGTGTTGCATCTTTTCTCACCTTTATACTCGACTGTTAATACCCACCTGTTACAGTCATTTTTTGAATGAATGAGATTATACTTCATCTCCACCCTCTGTGCTGGCACTTTTACCACCAACTTTTAGTTTTCCCAACAACTATGCTTGTAAAGCCGCTTATAGGATCCAGGCCAGGACTTTTTTTCCTCTTTTTCTTTCCTGTGAACTGATCCATAGCTCTGCCTCTTTCCTCTTTGCAGTTTACTCTTCAATCTATTTTCCCTGTGTCCTATATTTCTAAATGATGAGTAGATTTTTATTTCTATTTGCACATCATGCAGTGACCTCAAACACACATAATTTGTAAGTCAATATCACCATCTCCACTTGGTTACCTCTCTCTCTCTCTCTCTCTCTCTCTCTCTCTCTCTCTCTCTTTCTCTCATATTTCTTCATCCCACTCTACCATTTACTTTTGACAAGGAAACAATTATTTAGTCCCTCTAAACTTAGTCTGTGCCACAGAGTTGTTGTGAGAGTTATATGAGGCAATTAATTCATGTGAGATGCATAGCACATAACAAATAATCAAAAATAGTGGCCTTTATTCCCCCACACACACTTGCTTCTGGCTTATGCCTTTCTTTCCTTAATTATAGTTGTGACTGACAGACTTCAAGGATAGCCCCCAATAATCACCGTTTCCTGATGTTCATGTCCTTGTGTAATTACTCTTTTCCTTGGGTATGGACTGGACCTTGTAAACTGCTTCTAACTAATAGGATATGGCAAAAGTGATGGGATATGCTAGAATATAGAATATTGGGACTTTCATTTTCTTAGAAGAGGTACTGTGGGAGGTTGGCTCCAGAGCATGCCTGACCTATCTTGCTCAGTCCCACCCCACTGGCCACCTTCTGATTAATTTCCTTTCAATGTGCACAAATCTGTGCACTGGGGCACTATCTATACTAATAAAAGAGTAATATGCAATTAGACCGGGGTTGACCGGCCATTTTCCAGACATCTGACTTCCTTTCAGACAAAGCCATGGTGGTGGGGTCCAAGGCATAGGCAGTTAGGGGTGATAAGCCCTGCAGGGGAGAGCAGTTAGGGGCGAGATCAGGCCAGCAGAGGAGGGCAGTTGGGGGCCATCAGGCCGGCAGTGGAGGGCCATGGTGGCAACCAGGCCAGCAGGGGAGGGCCATTGGGGGTGACCAGGCCAGCAGGGAAGAGCAGTTGGGGGCATTAGGCAGGCAGACAGGTGAGTGGTTAGGAACCAGTGGTCCTGGATTTTGAGAGGGATGTTCAACTGCTGGTTTATAGAAGGTCATTGTCCTGTGGTAGGATAGGACCTAAACCAGCAGTCAGACATCACCCGATAAGTCCCAGATTGAAGAGGGTGCAGGCCGGGCTGAGGGACACCCCCCTATGCATGAATTTCATGCACTGGGCCTCTAGTTTCTAACAAAATCCCCACCAACATCCTTCGGGGAGCCTCTAGGAGTTAGTGATTATCTAATTGCCCAATTAGGAGAGGTCCCTGTATCTCTGTCCTTACTCCCAGGTGTATTGTGAGAAGATTTCTCACCCTCTCAGCATCTGCATCTGTTCTTTGAATGGCCCCACATGGGCCTTTGGAATCATCCAGTGCTTAGACTCACTGGGTGATTTTTGGTCTGTGGCTGTCCACTCATCGTGGCTTCTTGGTTTATTTTAGGGTAGAATCCATCCATGCTCCTCTGCCACCATCTCAGTGTGCCATCATCTCACCTGATCTCTAGGTGCAGCCCACAATCAGACTCACCTTCCCAAATATTTTCTCCATACTATGGTTTAAGGGATCCTTTTCAAAATCAGGGATTTCAGGGTGTCCTATAGCCTTTGGGATAAAGCTCCACCTACAGGTGCCTCGCAAAGCCTCAGAGAAGACAGCATTACCTCCCAGCCTCCTGTCTCACTTCCATCAATCCATCTATCCATCCATCCATCCATCCTCTGAGCTCCCTTCGCTGCCATCTCTCACTTCCCTCAGACTTCCCACATCCTCCCCACCTGGTTTGTACCACTCTATCCTTCTTGCACCCTGCTGTCCCTCACAAGCAGCAAATGTCAACTATCAGGTGATAGCTTAGGGGTCAATTCCTCCAAAGAGCTTGATATTGACAGACATGTTCCAGCTGGTCAAGAGGCCTACTTCATACCCCACCGGACTCTGCACCGCCCTCCTCACAGCACTCTGCATGGTTGTCTAACTGCCCCCCCCCCCCAGCAGCTCTTTGCAAGCTCTGAAGGGTAGGCTCCATGTCTCCTAGTCACCACTGGTTCCCTAGCACCTAGGGCAGAGCCCGGCACATGGCAGGCGCCAAGAAATATTTCTTGACTGAATCAGTACCTTTCCTACCGCTGCGATGAAGCAGCAGAAATAACAGTGGAAGTTTGTAAGGAATTTCCCTCAGTCAAACATTTGTTGGTCCACATGAAACATTAATTTTGGGCCTAAACAAAAGACTTAATTACCGCTTTCTGGAATTCCAATGGAGTTTTAAATTTCCTCTCATGCTTCACAAGTTTCTGTAAATTGACTTTGAAAACCACCCTCACCCCCACCCCTGCCACACATACCCTTTTCTTCTCAATTGTTTTAGGTTAATTTTTGGCCAATTTCTATACAAAGTACTTGTTTAATCCTCATTCCCCCCCCCCCCCCCCCCTGCTAAATGTTTAAGGAAGACGTTATTATTCCTTCACTCAGGTAAGGAAGCCTCGTGTCCTTGACACGTGCTGTGTCAGCTAAGTCAAATATTAGAAATTATATGAAGATTTGCCACCTTTGCATATGGGGGGGAATTTAAGGCAGGGCAGGCACCCTCATTTGGAGGCTGGCACAGCATGCAGCCTATACTGATTCTGCCTGTGGTTTTCCACGGCACTCTCAGGGAATGGAGCAGACCCAGAATTTTCCAACGTGGTGCAGGCCCTGCTCTCAGCACTGGGAAGCAGACCAATGAACAAAGCAGGCCAGGCCCTGCCAGGGTGCAGGCACCAGATGCTGCTGTTACCTGGCATGGAGGGCAGCCAAGGGCACTGGGGGCTGTGGGGGGCAGAGGAGAGGCTTTCACTCCCCAGAAAGGGAGGCTGAAGTCACAGCTTCGCCGCCTGCTCAGGACTCCAGTCCTTCACAAAGCAGCAGAAATAACAGTGGAAGTTTTAAGCAGAAATAACCCTGGAGCCCATGTTGCTTCTGAGAAGAAACCATGCAGAGCCATCTTGTGGTGGAAAAAAGGCACCGGTTTCAGCCTGCAAATTCTTTTATCTGACACCATAGGTGTAACTACCTGTGCATGCTCCTGTACCTTGATTCCTCCCATACCCCAGGCAGCGTTTTAAAGCGGTCAGCAAATGTTGACAGCCATCTCCACTTGTCCCACGAACACATTTACCACAGGTAATTAACTTAACTGCCTGATAAAAATGTAATTGGCGTGTTGTAATGCCAGCCATTGTCTGAAAAGAGTTTGACAGAGTGAGTTATGTTGCTTCCTTGGTTATCTTTATAGGCACATAATCAAATCCAAATTTGGTCATTCATTTGTGATTTGATTTAAAGTAAACAGCTAAATTGGGGGATCATAGATCTTAAAAGACTGAGTATTTGCCTCAGTTATGTGCTTTGGGTTTTTGTTTTTGGAAAATAAGATGGCTCTCATTGCTGCCAGATGCTGTGCAGCTGCATTCTCCGGGAAGCATAGACCCCGTTCGTCAGAGGACACAGGCCTGGGCACCCTCTGGATGCCTGAAGGATATCTGTGCCTCTTGTGCTTCAGTCATTGAGCCTTCTCTTGTATCGCAAACAGCAGCCACACACACTGCAGTCTATGGGAGCACACTGAACGGGCCCCTACCCCACCTGGGGCACAGGCGACAGACCTCACTGGCTACTGCCCAGCAGCCTCTACCCAAATACCTGCTAACCCAAGCACCGTCGTCACCTTGGGTGCAGGACAGTGATGAAGCAGCCTGGACAGTGCCGAGGGCTCCACCATGTGGCTGGTGATGCACCTGTGCCTTTCTGTCCACTGACTTCAGCTCTCAAGTAAGCATGTCACCTCTCACCTGAGCTCAGGGGCCGCTCCTGTCCCGGACACCTATTACACGAGACTTAATGTGATGACTGATGAGGGCTTTTCTCACTACCCAGAGAGAGGTCACAAGGCTCCGGAGGCTTCCTCTGATTTGGGCCACTTCTAAGTCACCTGCCCAAGCCGGAGGAGGCGGCCTCGGGGCTTTAGACCATGAACAATGAGACATGGCCCAACATTTACAGACCCTGAGGACCACCCCTAAGCCAGACCTGGGGAGAATCTGCTACAAATGGCCTTGGTCATGCCTTTGATGTCAGCTAAGACTGAATTCAGTTAGATTTTCGAAACAAGTAGTTTTCCCTGAGTCCTTAGACAACCTAGAATGTTTCCTGCTCCTCCACACTGATGCACCCTCACCCCATGCCAAACTGACCTTTGCCCAGCAGACGCAGAGGCTCCTGCCCAACCTAGCCCCTTGGCCACGGTTCAGCTCCTGGCTCTGCCGGTCTTACCCTGTCATCTCGTTGTTCCACCTGTGCCATGTGACACCCACCCGCATCTCCCCAGGAGAGAGTAAGGGCCACGAAGGCAATGGGCAACAAGTGTAAAACAGGATTTGTTTGTTTGTTTAACAAATGCTGAGGGCCTGCTCTGGGCCAGTCACTGC